AATAAATGTAATGTCCTTGAATCATCCTGAAACCACCACCCAGTCTGTGGAAAAACTGTCTTCCATGAAACCAGTCTCTCGTGCCAAAAAGGTCGGGGACCACTGATTTTACCTCAATTTTAAAAAAAGAGATGGATGAAGAAACTAAAATCCTAAGCCATTTTAAAAATTATCAAGGACTCAGCAATTATAAATTAAAAAAACGAAACTACCAAAGAACAATGGCAGATAAGCTCACATTTCTTTTTGCAATAAAAAAGAGAAAGAATTTATAATAAAGACTTGAGTTAGTACTAAATACTAAGCATAATAGTCACAAATTAAGCACCGCATATAGCCGTCCTCACTTGTCTGCAGTTTTGTTTTCTACTGTCAACTGTGATCCAAAAATAGGTGAGAACAGTACAATTATAGCATATTGCTATTAATATAATTGTTCTATTTTATTATTAGTTATTGGTGTTAATCACTCACTATACCTAATGTGTAAATTAAACTGCATCACAGGTATGTATGTAAGGGAAAAAACAGTACATATAGGGTTTGGTGCTACCTATGGTTTCCCCCTTCATTGGAGGTCTCAGAATGTATCTCCTGCAGATAAGGAGAAACCACTGTATGGATGGATCATCAACATTCCGTAACAATTAACCACATAAGTTATTTCAACCGTGGTCCCACTAAAGCCAGCCTAATCCTGATCAAATTACCTATATCTGGTTTAAAACTGGAATCAGTACATTTTAGAGTTTATTCTGAGTTTTGGAAATGGCTTTCTAAGTACTCCCAGTCTTAAGGATCCTGTGTGAGTGATTTAGTTCTAAGTGAACCTGTGGTTTGTTTTGCTGTTCAGATATAGACACTAAAATCTAGTTTAGATTTAGAGATTGGCAAGTCACAGTTTATGAGTTCTGCTAGAATTAGATTGGTCTTTGGTATCTATGGAGTGAATGGACTGATTTGTTCCCTACGGTCAACTGTAAGTGACCCACACAAACCCAACGAGACAATAATAAAAGGAGCCTGACACTTGTCAGTATTCTCTATGTGATTTTCAAGGTGTTGGATACATTAAAGCCAAGATCTAAACTTAGTAATAGTTGAAACTCAAGAGTAAGTAGCTATAAATAAAGTCCTTTAAAAACAGACTATTAACATAAACTGTCACAGTAGTCATCAAAGCTCTATGCTTTTCTGATGTTGATCATAATAAACTACAATATTAGAAGACGGCTTTCAGGGTACAGACTTAAAAAACCAATGTGAGATGACTCATTTTGGAAAGGGTAAATCAGCAATCTATCTATTAATATTTTTCTATTTAAAAATCCAAGTTGTTCACATAAGCACACATATAAGAATAACATCTATTGGATGTCGGGCAGGGGGGAGGGAAGAGGGGAGAGCAGGGGATGGGTATATGCATACACAAAGAGTGCAATGTGCACCATCCGAGGGATGGACACACTTGAAACTTGGACTTGGGCGGGGAGGGGAAGAGCAACATACGTAACCTAAATATCTGTACCCCCGTAATATGCTGAAATAAAAAAAAAAGAAAAAGAACAGAAAAAAAAAATCCAAGTTGTTTGAGTTTTTAAAAATTCTCTGAAAGAGCACAAAGAAATACAATTTTGAAAACATAATACAGACACATAAAACCTCTACTCCCTTTGTGTGAATGAACATTTCCTATTAATTAATTTACTTACTATAGATACTTTGAATCCTTCTACCAGATATGTGAACATTTCTTTCTGAAATGGATTCAAAACAGAAGGCTGTTCACGATGAGTATCTTCCTCAGAAATTTCAGTCTGGGAAACTGAGGTCTTCCTTTGAGTTGTATTTTCTGGAGTTCTCAGAATGTCAATAATGTCTGAATTAAACTCTTTGCATAAAAAAATAAAAAATTAGTCACATCACTGATGCCCAGCCATTATAAATGGTAATAATGCTAACAATATTCTATGTAATTACTAATTCGATTATTACAATATAAATGTGCAGTAGGTATATTAGATGTAGTAGACATAATAAATTAGAGAGAGTGAATCCACCTAAAATA